ACTAGGCCTAAATTAGCGGGTCAAAATAGTCAGAAGTTTACAGAAGTACCGTAATTTTCCTTTTTTTATTTTACTTTTGTTTCTCCTTTTGTTTGTTTGTTTATTTATTTAGTTAGTTTTTCATTATTTATTTATTTATTCACTATTTTTATTTTATTCACTATTATTTATCCATATTAATTTATTCATGATTATTTAATTTATTCATCATCGTTAGTTATTTATTCAATTATAATTTATTCTCTCTTTTAATTTTTACTTTTTATTTCTCCTTTTGTTTGTTTTATTATTTAGTTGATAGTTTTTCATTATTATTTATTTTATTCACTATTCATTTATTCATATTTATTTATCAAATTATTTATTTATTTATTCATTATTATTTATTCATTATTATTTATTCATTTTTTTATTTTACTTTTATTTCTCCTTTTGTTTGTTTATTTATTTAAGTTAGTTAGTTTTTTTCATTATTATTTATTTATTCACTATTTATTTATTCATATTTTATTTATTCATATTTATTATTCATATTTTATTCCATATTTATTATTATTTATTTATTTATTTATCATTATTATTTATTCACTTTTTTATTTAACTTTTATTTCTCCTTTTGTTTGATTTATTTACTTATTTATCAGGTTTTCTATTATTATTTATTCTTATTCATTTATTTACTTTTTTTGCTTTGTGTGTGTGCGTGTGTTGTGTGTGTGTGGTGTCTGTGTGTGGTGTTTGTGTGTATGTGTGTGTGTGTGTGCTGTGTGTGTGTGTGTGTGTGTCTGTGTGTGTGTTTGTGTGTATGTGTGTGTGTGTGTGTGTGTGTGTGTGTGTGTGTGTGTGTGTGTGTGTGTGTGTGTGGTGTGTGTGTGTGCGTTTGAGTGTGTGTGTGTGTTTGTGTTTGTGTGTTTGTGTGTGGTGTGTGTGTGTGTGTGTGCGTGTGTGTGTGTGTGTGTGTGTGTCTGTGTGTGTGTTTTGTGTGTATGTGTGTGTGTGTGTGTGTGTGTGTGTGTGTGGTGTGTGTGTGTGTGTCTGTGTGTGGTGTTGTGTGTATGGTTGGTGTGTGTGTGTGTGTGTGTGTGTGTGTGTGTGTGTGTGTCTGTGTGTGTTTGTGTGTATGTGTGTGTGTGTGTGTGTGTGTGTGTGTGTGTGTGTGTGTGTGTGTGTGTGTGTGTGTGTGTGTGTGTGTGTGTTTGGTTGTGTTGTGTGTTTTGAGTTTGTGTGTTTGTGTGTGCGTGTGTGTGTGTATGTGTGTGTGGTATGTTGTGCGTGTGTGTGTTTGTGTATACATATTCACATATGTTCGTATGTATTTGTACACACAGATATAGAATCTCTTATGTAACCTCTTTTTCGTGTTATTTACAGCTGATGTTTTGCCCATATATATCCATTTCCAAATATGGTATTCTTGGCAACACTGATCGTAATTATAGATAAAGTTTCTGTTCTTTCGTCACATTTGTTCTTTTTTTTCCCCTGTTCTTATCGTTATCATTGTTTTTGTTATCATCAGTGTTATTGTGTTGTTGTTTTTCTTGTTCTTATTGTTATTATTTTCATGGTTATTCTTCTTGTCATTATTATTATTATCATTATTATTGTTACTATTATTGTTGTTGTAATTATTGTTATTTTTATTATTATCATTAGTTATTATTATTTTCATTGTTGTTAATATATCACTATTATTTTGTTGTTGTTGTTGTTGATATTATCATATCCTGTAATTCTCCCCCCTCCCCTTCTTCCCCAACCTCTCCCTTACCCCCCACCCATCTGACTTTTCTCACCCCTCCTCTTCTCCCCCCCCCCCTACCACCCAACCCCCCCCTCTGCTTTTCCTACCATCCCTCTCCTTCTCCCCCACCCCCTCCTCGCCCTCCCCTATATCCTCCCCACTTGCCTCCCTTTCTCCCCCAAGCCTATCGTTCTCCCCTACCCTCCCCCCCCCCTTCATCCTCCTCCCCCTATATTCCTCCCACCTCCCTCTTTTTCTCCCCCAATTCCTCCTCTTTACTCCCCTCCCCTTCTCCTCACACCCCTTTTTCTCCCTTCACCCCCCCCTTCATCTTGCACACGGCCCCCTCTGCACACGACCCCCTCTGCACACGCCCTCTGCACACGCGCCCTCTGCCACGAGCCCCCCTCTGCACACTCTAACACGGCACACGACACCCCCCTGCACACGGCCGCCCTGCACACGACCCCCTCTGCACACGACCCCCTCTGCACAGACCCCCTCTGCACACGGCCCCCCTCTGCACACCCCCTCTGCACCCCCTCTGCACACGACCCCCTCTGCACACGCCCCCTCTGCACACGACCCCCTCTGCACACGGCCCCTCTGCACACGACCCCCTCTGCACACGGCCCCTCTGCACACGACCCCCTCTGCACACGGCCCCCTCTGCACCCACACGGCCCCCTCTGCACACGACCCCCTCTGCACACGGCCTTCTGCACACGACCCCCTCTGCACACGGCCCCCTGCACACGACCCCCTCTGCACACGGCCCCTCTGCACACGACCCCCTCTGCACACGGCCCCCGCTGCACAGGACCCCTCTGTACACGGCCCCCTCTGCACACACGGCCCCCTCTGCACACCGCCCCTCTGCACACACGACCCCATCGCACACGACCCCTCTGCACACGGCCCCCTCTGCACAACGACCCCTCTCACACACGGCCCCTCTGCACACGACCCCTCTGCACACGGCCCCTCTGCACACGACCCCCTCTGCACACGGCCCCCCTCTGCACAGGACCCCCCTCTGCACACGCCCCTCTGCACGACCCCCTCTGCACACGAACAACGACCCCCTCTGCACACGGCCCCCTCTGCACACGACCCCCTTAACACACCTTCTGACACGACCCCCTCTGCACACGCCCCCTCTGCACACGACCCCCTCTGCACACCTCTGCACACGACCCTCTGCACACGACCCCTCTGCACACACCCCCCTCTGCAGCCCCTCTGCACACGGACCCCTCTGCCACACGCCCCCTCTGCACACGGCCCCCCTCTGCACACGCCCCTCTGCACACGACCCCCTCTGCACACGACCCCCTCTGCACACGACCCCTCAGCACACGCATCCTCTGCACATGGCCCCCTCTGTACAGACCCCTCTGCACACGACCCCCTGCACACGGCCCCCTCTGCACACGACCCCCTCTGCACACGGCCCCCCTGCACATGGCCCCCACTCTGCACACGACCCCCTCTGCACACTACCCCTCTGCACACGGCCCCCTCTGCAAAAGACCCCCTCTGCACACGCCCCCTGCTGCACACGCGCCCCTTCTGCACACGACCCCCCTCTGCACACGCCCCCTCTGCGACCCCCTCGCACACGACCCTCTCTGCACACGCCCTCTGCACACGGCCCTCCACGCGCCCCTTGCACACGCCCCCTCTGCACCACTCTGACCGCCCCCTCTGCACACCGCCCCTCTGCACACGACCCCCTCTGCACACGACCCCCCTGCACACGACCCCTCTGCATACGACCCCTCATGCACACGGCCCCTCTGCACACGACCCCCTCTTCACACGACCTCCTCTGCACACGACCCTCCATACGACCCCCTCTCACACACCACGCCGTGCTTCCCGCGCTCACTGGTTCAAATATAAGCTGACCCAACGTTGACCCCGTGGACCAAGGTACTCAGCCACACCAAGTATATATTATATAGGATTCAATTACCTCTTAATACTCCTCCTCATCCTCTCTCTCTCGTGTCTCTCTCTTGTCCGTCTCTCTCTCTTCTCTCTCTCTCTCTCTCCTCCTCTCTCTCCTCTCCGTCCTCTCGTCTCTCTCTCTCTCTCTCTCTCTCTCTCTCTCTCCTTCATCCCCCTCCCCCTCTCTCTCTCTCTCTCTCTCTCTCTTCTCTCTCTCTCTCTCTCTCTCTCTCTCTCTCTTCTCTCTCTCTCTCTCTCTCTCTTCCTCTTCCTTCCTTTCTCCCTCCCTCCCTCCCTCCCTCTCTCTCTCTCTCTCTCTCTCTCTCTCTCTCTCTCTCTCTCTCTCTCTCTCTCTCTCTCTCCTCAATCTCTCTCTCTCACGCCCCTCACCTTCCCTCTCTCTCTCTCTCTCTCTCTTCTCTCGCACCTCCTCCACCCCCTCTATTCGAAGCCCTTTTCAATAACCAGATTATTTTGTTCACTCCGTAATTGAAAACGGTTCTTTCCAGCAAAATTGTCTGAAGAAATACACCGCATTACCTTCACGATCCAATCAAGCTGTTAAAGTTCCCCTCAAGACATGCGTCATTTCCCCCTAAAAACCCCCCCCCCTCTATGCTTTTTTTTTCTTCTAACTTCTCTCTTCTCTCTCTTCTCCTGTTCTATTTGTCTGTCCTTGTTCTGTCTCTGTCTCTGTTCTATCTGTCTGTTATGTTTCTTCTGTCTGTCTGTCCTGTCTCTCTGTCTCTCTCTCGTCGTCGTCTGTCTCTCTCTCTCTCTGTCGTCTGTCTTGTTTGCTCTTGTCTCTGTCTCTGTCCTCCCTGCCCTCCCTCTCTCTCTCTCTCTCTCTCCCTCCTCTCTTCTCTCTTTTTCTCTTTTCTCTCTCCTCCTCCCTACCTTCTCTCCCTCCTTCACCCTCTCTCCCTCTCTATCATCTGCATGGTCGGTCCTTCTTCACTTTTTCTACTACAGGCTTCGGAATCTTTAATAACGCACATGTATATCTCCTCATTATGCTGCTTGACTCGTACGTACACCCCAACCCCCCCTCCCTCACCCCTCCAACCTGTTCCCTCCTCCCCTCCTCCCCTCTCTCCCAACCTCTCGCCTTGGGCTTAAAAGTGCTTTAACGTACATCGCCTATCTTGTGGAGCGTCCGTGGGTGTACGAGAGTAATTACCATCAAAGTGTGTATTACTACGTGCCCTGTTGTTTGTTGTTCTTGTTGTTTGTTTGTCTTTTTTTTTCTTATCTTTCTTTTTTCTTTTTCTTTCTTTTTGCGGGTGGGGGTGATTATTTTTTTTATTGTCTTTTTATTGTTTTTTGTTGTCTTGTTTTTTTCTTTTTCTTTTTTCTTTCTTTCTTTTTTTGGGGGTGATTTTTTTATATATATATATAGTCACACCTCGAGCGCTCTTCATTTCGAAAAAGGGTGGCGATTACAGATGCTGTTTTTATCTATTACTTCTGTGTGTGTGTGTGTGTGTTTCTTTGTTTTTTTTTTTGGGGGGAGAGGAGATTTTTTTATTTTTTTATTTTTTATTATTTTTTTAAGTCACCTCGAACGCTCTTCATTTGGGAAAAAGGATGCGCTTTACAGATGTTGTTTTATTCTATTTATTCTTGTACTGTGTGTTTTTTTCTTGTTTTTTATGAGCGGGGAGATTTTTTTTTTTTTTTTTTTTTTTTTTTAGTCACCCCTCGACCGCTCTCGATCGAAAAGAGCTATCTATTTATTCGTGTTGTGTGTGTGTTTCTTGTTTTTCTTTTTTTTTTTTTTTTGGTTTGGGGGGTGGGTTTTTTTTTTTTTTTTTTTTTTTAGTCACCCTCGACCGCTCTCCATTTCGAAAGAGCTATTATTTATCGTGTGTCTGTGGGTTTCTTTTTTTTTTTTTTTTTTTTTTTTGGTTTGGGGTGGTTTTTTTTTTTTTTTTTTTTTTAGTCCCCATCGACCGCTCTCCATTTGAAAAATTGCTATCTATTTATTCGTGGTGTGTGGTTTCTTGTTTTTTTTTTTTTTTTTTTTTTGTTTTGGTTTTTTTTTTTTTTTTTTATCACCCTCGACCGCTCTCCATTTCGAAAGATGCTATCTATTTATCGTGTGTGTGCTGGTTCTCTGTTTTCTTTTTTTTTTTTTTTTTGGTTTGGGGTGGTTTTTTTTTTTTTTTTTTTTTAGTCACCCTCGACCGCTCTCCATTCGAAAAGATTGCTCATCTATTTATTCGTGTGTGTGTGTTTCTTGTTTTTCTTTTTTTTTTTTTTTTTGTTTGGGGTGGGTTTTTTTTTTTTTTTTTTTTTTTAGTCACCCCCGACCGCTCTCCATTTCGAAAAGATGCTATCTATTTATTCGTGGTGTGTGTGTGTTTCTTTTCTTTTTTTTTTTTTTTTGGTTTGGGGGTGGGTTTTTTTTTTTTTTTTTTTTTTAGTCACCCCTCGACCGCCTCCATTTCGAAAAAATGCTATCTATTTATTCGTTGTTGTGGTGTTTTCTTGTTTTTTCTTTTTTTTTTTTTTTTGGTTTGGGGTGTTTTTCCCTCAACCCTCGATCCATTTCGAAAACGATGTTATATGTATTTATTCGTGTTGTGTGTGTTTCTTGTTTTCTTTTTTTTTTTTTTTGGTTTGGGGGTGGGTTTTTTTTTTTTTTTTTTTTTTTAAGTCACCCCTCGACCGCTCTCCATTCCGAAAAGATGCTAATTTATCTATTTATTCGTGTGTGTGTGTGTTTCTTGTTTTTCTTTTTTTTTCTTCTTTTTTTTGGTTAGGGGTGGTTTTTTTTTTTTTTTTTTTTTGTCACCCCTCGAGCGCTCTCCATTCGAAAAAGGATTACAGATATTCCCCCGAATGACGCGGCCCTTATGGATTCTTTCAATTACTGCTCGACGACGCTCTCTAATACTACCTTTCCTCCTCGTCGCGACTTCCTCTCCTACTCCGCTCTAATCCTCGGGGCGGGAAGGATAACCTGTAGAGAACTTCGGCAGACGTCGCAAGAAGGGGGAGGCGGTGACTGACGAAGGAGTGCTGAAAAAACAATAAAAAAAAAAAAAAAAAAAAAAAAAAAAAAAAAAAAAAAAAAAAAAAAAAAAAAAAAAAAACAAAAGGTTTCTAAGAAAAGTAAAAAAAAAAAAAAAAAAAGTAAAAAAGAAATAATAAATGTTTGTGTCTGGCTCTGTCATTTTGATGTCTGTAGTTATGCTTGGATGTGTCTGTTTTTCTGTTTGTCTTTGTGTCTCTCCTTTTATTTTATTATTATTTTTATTATTTAATTATTAATTTATTATTATAATCTTTTTTTTTTTTTTTTTTTTTTTTTTTTTTGCCTTTGTCTTTTATTTTTTTTCCTTGCTGTGCGTGTTTCTCTCCTTTTTCTCCTTTCTCTCCCTTTAGGCGTGCATAACTACTGTTTGACTAATAGCCCCCTACATAAATAGATGTATAGCCCAGTTTGGCCTCTCCCTCTCCTTCTCCCTCTCCTTTCCCTTCCCCCTCTCCCTTTCTCTCTCTCCCTTCCCTCTCCCTTCCTCCCAAACGTCCTCACTCTTAAACTCCTTCTTTCCTGCTCCTCTCCATTCTCTCTCCTTCCATCTTCCTCCCTCCTTCTATCTCCCCTTTCTCTCTCCTCTCTCCTCCCACCCTTCCTCATCCCCTTCCCTACTTACCTCCTTCCTACCCCCTTCCTTCCCCCCTCCCACCTCTCCCTCCCCTCCTCCTCCTACACCCTCGACCTACACATTTCCCCTTTCCACTATCCTCCCTCCCCACCTTCCCTTCTTCCGTTACCCCCTCCTTTTCCCCCTTCCCACTATCTTACCTCCCCCTCTCCCTCTCCCCTTTCTCTCTCCCTCCACCCATCCCACTCTCCCTCTTCCCCTCTCCCTCTCCTCCTCCCCCTCTCCTCCTCTCTCCCCTCCTCCTCTCTTTCCTCTCCTTTCCTCTCCTCCTCTCCATCTCTCCCTTCTCCCTCTCCCACTGAAACCAATTATAATCTATGACATGCCTTTGAGCCCGAACATCACATTCCGCATGTACGACTCTCAACCCAAGCCACGCTGGGCTACTTCTCTCCATCCTCTCTCTCTCTCTCTCTCCTCTTCTATTCATCTCTCTTCTCTCTCTCATCTCTCTCTCTTTCTCTTTCTTCTCTCCTTTCTCTCTCTCCTCTTTCTTTCTTTTCTTTCTTATCGCTCTCTCTTCTCTTTCTCTCTTCCTTTCTTCTTTCTCGTGCTTTCTTTCTTTCTTTTTTCTTTCTCTCTCTCTCTCTCTCTCTCTCGCTCTCTCTCTCTCTCCTCCTCTCCCTCTCTCTCTCTCTCTCTCTCTCTTTCTCTCTCTCCTCTGCCTCTCTCTCTCTCTCGTCTCTCCTCTCTTTTCTTCTTCTCTTTCTTTCTCTCTCTCCTCTCATCTCGCCTCTCTCTCTCTCTGCTCTCTGCTTCTCTCTCTCTCTCTTTTTTCTTTCTTTTCTTTTCTTTTCTCTCTCTTCTTCTCTCTCTCTCTCTACTCTTCTCTCCCTTCGCTCTCTCTCTCTCTCTCTCCCTCTCTCCTCTCTCCTCTCTCTCTCTCTTCTCTCTCTCTCTCTCTCTCTCTCTTCTCTCCTCTTCTATTTATCATATCTATCGATCTACGCACTTTCCTTCTCTTTTTATGTTGTTGTGTTGTGTTATTTCATCCATTTGATTGATGGATGATGTATCAGTAGAATATTGGATAGGAAGACAGACAGGTTAGACCCAATATAGATAGGTAAACAGATTAAACAGAGAGCGTAGACAGGCATGAAGACCGACAGAGAGACAGACATAAGACCAAATAGACTTTGACAGATTTAGACAGATTTTAGAATTAAACAGAGATAACACAATAGTTGTGTGACAGGTTAAGAAAGAGAACAGACAGACTGGGTCCAGACGCAGGATGAGACCGAAGAGGGGTTGGAACGCAAAGAGAAGACAGACGAACCAGGTGGAAAGC